ACGGCCGCAGGACGGGCGTGGGGGTTGGCAGCACCGGGCAGGGCGGGAGCACGGCTTACGGCTCGGCCCCGTGTGCTTTTAAGGTGCCTTCGAGATTGAGATCAACGGGCAGCTGGTCTTCTCCAAGCTGGAGAACGGAGGCTTTCCCTACGAGAAGGACGTAAGTATCCGGCCCCGCAGGGTCCTTGCGTCAGCCAGGCTGGTGGCCGCGGGGAGGTTCGTTTGTGCAGGCAGCTCCCCTGTGACCGGTTTCTCCCTCGACGTCTCCGTTTCATCACTCACCAGCTCTGCCCGAGCTCTGGCGACGCCTCACGATCCCGTCGGGCGTTGTTCCCCTTCCTGCCACCCTGCCGGGACCCACGCCAGGTCCAGCTCGCGCACGGTGCGAAAAAACCTACCCCGCCGCTCGTCTGGGGAGAGCGGGGACGGTTCCTGGAGCTCCTGCCTCGGCGTGGCCGTGATTTGGGCCTGTGGCACTGCCTGACCTCCACGTGTCGTGTCCAAGCGCTCCCGACCGCTGCGTCCCCCCTCCCCGAACGCTCCTTCCCCCACCAGACCTCGCGGCGAGGCTGGCCCGGAGCGCGACCCCCTCCCCTCTGTCTCCTCAGCTGATCGAAGCGATTCGCAGAGCGAGGAACGGGGAACCGCTGGAGAAAATCACCAACAGCCGCCCCCCCTGCGTCATCCTGTAGCCCAGCGCCCAGCTGGGATCTCCCAGCGCCCGGCGGCCAGCTCCCGGCCCCCTCGCCGCCTTCGTTAGCTTCCTGCACGCCCCGGGGGAGACTGGGGACGTCGGGGGAATGCGAGAGCGTAAGGAGCCTCCCGGGGAACTGGGGGCGAGAGCTGGGATGGGCAGAGCTGTGGTACTGGTGTCACTGGAGGCCGTTCTGGCCCGTCCCTTCGGGTCGCCCCCCCGCCATGTTGAACCGCCGTGGGGTGTAGCTGTGGCGTGGGGCGGCTCCCCTGCCCGCCTTTGCTTCCCCCCCGCCCCAGCGCCCAGCAGCGCAGGGGGGGCTCTCCCCCCTCCCTCAGCCGCTGGGGGCTTGGGAGCCCCTCCCCCCCCCCCCCCAATGTCCC